CCTTTTCGGGGCCCTGAGCCCTCGGCTGCCGCGGCCCATTGCCCCTCCCACCGCCCCACTGGGCTACGGTTCGGAGCCGCTGTCAGGGACCCTGGTGTCACCGCTGTCAGGGACCCTGGTGACGTGCAACAGCTCCCGGCGCCCGTCCCCTTCCTCTCCTCCACTGAGCGTATGGTGCGAGGCCAGTCGGGGCCTTCTCTTGCCCTTTAACCAGGCCAGTGTTTAACACTGCTCCCCCCCGCTTCCCCCGTGTGTGCTTCCTGGGCCTGCTCCCCCCGCCATGGGCCCTTCCTGGGCCTTAAGGACATCAGAGCGGCCAGGCGGGGTCAGACCAACGGCCCATCCAGCCCAGGGTCCCGTCTGCCCACAATGGCCAGTGCCAGGTGTCCCAGAGGGAGGGAACACACCAGGGAATCCTCACGTGATCCCTCCCCTGTCACCCACCTCCAGACAAACAGAGGCCAGGGACCCCATCCCTACCCAGCCTGGCTCACAGCCATCGATGGACCTACCCTCCTTGAAACTAGCTAGCTCTTTTTTGAACCCTATTCAAGTCCTGGCCTTCACTACATCCTCCGGCAAGGAGTTCCACAGGTTGACTGTGTGCAGAGTGAAGAAAAACTTCCTTTGGTTTGTTTTAAACCTGCTGCCTGTTCATTTCATTTGCTGACCCCTTGTTCTTATATTGTGGGAACAAGTAAATAACGTTTCCTTATTCACTTTTTCCACACCAGTCACAATTTTATAGACCTCGGCCAGATCCCCCCTTAGTCGCCTCTCTTCTAAGCTGAAAAGTCCAAGTCTCTTTAATCTCTCTTCATACGGGACCCGTTCCAAACCCCTCATCAGTTTTATTGCCCTTTTCTGAACCCTTTCCAATGCCAAGAGATCTTTTTTGAGATGAGGCAACCACATCTGTGCGCAGGATTCCAGACGTGGGTGTCCCAGGGTTTTATGTAGAGGCAGGGAGATATTCTCTGGCTTATTCTCTGTCCCTTTTTAAACAATTCTTAACATTCTATTTGCTTTTTTGACGGCCGCTGCTCACGGCGTGGATGTTTTCAGAGAACGCTCCACAGTGACTCCAAGATCTCTCTTGAGCAGTTGGAGCTAAATTAGCCCCCATCATATTGTCTGTCGAGTTGGGATTCTGTTTCCCAATGTGCATTGCTTTACATTTACCCACATTACATTTTATTCGCCATTTTGTTGCCCAGTCACTTTGTGAAGAGCTTCAAAAAGATCTCACCGAGTGTCTGCTTTGGTCTGAACTCCCTCGAGCAGTTTGGGATCATCTGCACATTTTGCCACCTCCCTGTTTCCCCTTTTCTCCAGACCCTTGATAAATCAGTTGAACAGGATGGTCCCAGGACAGACCCTTGGGGGACCCCGCTAGTTACCTCTCTCCACTGGGGAAACTGACCATTGATTCCTCCCCTTTGGTTCATGTCTCTTAACCAGTTTCCAATCCAGTTACTTCCCTCTTATCCCATGACAACGTACTTTACTTTACTCAGATGACATCTTCAGCATCTGGACCCATGGGAAGGAGGCTGTGGAAGAATTCCCCTGTGATTTCTACAGTTTCCACCCCACCGTCAACCTCAGCCTGGACCAGTTTACACAAGAGATCCACTTCCTGGACACTACAGTGTGAATCAGTGATGGTCACATTAACACCACCCCAGACCGAAAACCTACCGAGCGCTATGCTTACCTACACGCCGCCAGCTTCCATCCCGGACACACCACACGCTCCATTGTCTAAAGCCAAGCACTATGGCAAAAAAGCAGCAGTCTGGACGGGGATCTGCAAGGAGGGTTACAGGATCTGTTGAAAAAGCCTTTCTTTCTTGGCAGATCCGCCTCTACACTGCTTTTTGCCGACAAAGTGCTGAGTTGGCAAAACGCGGTGGCCATTTTTATGCAAATTAGGCATGGGATATTTAAATCCCTACCTAATTTGCAATGTCGACCTGCCTAATCTGCATCCCCCTGCCGACAGAGGACAAACACCTACAAGATCTTCACCGAGCCTTCTTAAAACTACACTATCCGCCCGAGGAAGGGAGGGAAGAGAGTGACAGAGCCAGACGTGCACCCACCAGCCTCCTGCTACAAGACAGGCCCAGCAAAGAAAATAACAGGACCTCACTGGCCATCACCTACAGTCCCCAGCTAAGACCGCTCCAAGAGTGACCTGCAACCCACCCTGGCCAACGATCCCTCGCTTTCACAGGCCTTAAATGCGAGTCAGCGTCCTCGCCGTGTGGACACGCTAGCTTGAACTAGAAAAACGCTATTTCGAAAGGCATTCTGTGTGTAGAGGCGTCGTTTCGAAACAAGCTATTTCAAACTAACGCCGTAGTGCAGACACGCCGCCGTCTGGAAGGTGCCCCAGGACTCCTCCTTGTTTATGCAGATTCAGACTAACACGGCTCCCCTGACACTTTTAAACACCTTTTTATCTGTGTCTGCTTTTTTTGCCTGGTTGTTAAGTGGCACTTTCTTGGGTCTCTTACTGTGTTTTTTAATTTGGGGGACACGTTTAAGTTGGGCCTCTATTTATGGTGCCTTCTCCCCCGTGGGCTCCCCAGGGTTTTGGGGTGGGAAGCTTGGGGCTCTGTCCCAGCCGGCAGCAGCAGGCCCCATAGCAGTGGGGCCAGAATCCTCTTGCTCTGGGTCTGGGGGCGACTGGGTCTCCCTACCCCATGGCGAGAGCGGCCACAGAGCCCCGGAGCCCCATTGTGTGGGCCTCGCGCTGGGGGGGGGCTCCCCTGGCACGCACCCCG